CGGGGAAAGAAACAGGAGCTCTCCTGTTTGAAAGGGCAATTATCAATAAATCTAGGTCCTTGTTCTGCGCATGCCATGAGTAAGTTAATATATGCCAAGTTGTATTAAAATTACATCCAGAAACAAGGCATTCGTAAATATTCGGAGATGTAATACTTAATCTATATTTTCATGTAAAAAAATAAAATTAACTTTTCAGATTTGATGATTGTTATTACAATGTGAACAAAGGTAATATATAATTTTATGACAGTATCTTTTAAACAACCAAATAATATAACTTTCAGACTGCTGATATATTTGGCAAGTCAAGGGACATAATACAAGGAGTGTTCTCGATAACTCTCTCGATTTACCAGAAAATTCGGCACGATGGCGGATGCGAAAACAAAGGTTTGTCGATTTCTCTGCCTATCTTTTTGCATGAATGGTTATGTTTCAAATTTATTTATGCATTATGCAATGTATAGTCTTTTCTAGGATATATTAGATTATTCTGTTCGTAGTTAATGGCATTCGTTGTATCCAAAGCACGAAAAGCTCTGTTCTGTAGTGAGTCTAGTTTCTCTGTTGTCTGGCCTCTTGTTCTCCTCTGCCTCTCTTGTCTCTCTAATTTTCTGTCACTTGACTTTGTCCCCCTCTCTCTCTATTTAGTTACACCGACAGGGATTTGCTTCATCTTCTTGGCTCTCTCTTGACTCAAGACTAGATCTAGAACTAGAATCTAACTTCTTGGTCTTGGTCGTTTGTGATGGCTCTGCACATTCTTCTCTGTTTAGTTTAGTCTTTAGTCTAGATATCTAGATCTAGTTTAGGCCTAAGAATCAAGCAGTTTAGCTTATCTTAGCCAAGCTGAGCCTAATCAAGCCTCTCTGTCTCTGTTGTAGTTGTGTGTCTGTCTCGTAACCCCAGTTCCCCGGATTTACGTTCCTGATATATAAAAGCGTATTTCTGCTCGAGTTTTAGTGCGTTTGCGGCTTACTTCTAGACTAGAATTGCCTGTGTTGCCAGTGTTAGTACGACACCGACGTAGGCTAGCCTAGTATGGGGAGGACTTCCGTAACGAGCGACCACTATGAGACAAAAGAGTAGAATAGAAGGCTAGGGGTAGGATTATTAGGGGTAGGGGTAGGTCTCTTATTTATTGTGTTCGTTGGGGCGGTCGCTCGTTACGGAAGTCCTTCCTTCTTTCCAGCCTACGTCTCATTCAAAACACGCCAAATTGAAGTTGGTAGCTCTAGGTCTAGAGTGGTGTCGCCGGTTCGCGTGCACTTCGCTATCATTGAACCTATTTTCTGCCATTTCCAGCTTTGTGCTTTCGTTTTTAGCTATTCCATTCAAGAAACACTATTGACCTATAAAATGGTCTTGCTCATAGTTGCCAGACTTCTTACGTTGTGTGCCCAACAGTTTTTCCAACCTAGGGTGTTGTCTTCACTGTGCGTGCATGTCTTCTCAGTGCGTGCATGGGATTCTTCACTGTGCGTGCACTCATATATACACGTTGAAAGCCAAAAGAAGAGAAATCTGATAACATTACTGCATTAAATTTAAATGACCACACAGGAAGATAACAAGTCACTTTAGAAGCAAAGTAATGCAATTTTAATTAGAATCTAACCTAATTTAATTTAGGGGGTACAAATAGTTCAAATACATAGTGAAAAAAATCAAACAGAATTTTTCACAGCTAGAATCTACATTTTCCTACTCTTCATCACTCATTCCTCTGATCTTTCCAACTTTCACACAGTCCACATATATGCCACCATCCATGACATTCATCAAACTGCAATCAATAATCTCTAAATTTGAGTCTATTTTTTTTCTTAGTATTCTACTATATATTCCATTGTGCACGCGCAGAGAAAACTCAAGTTTTTTCAGTCCTCACAACGCGTCCCCCCCCCCCGATCCCGAAACCCGCATTACAGCTTGCATGGGTCTCAATACCACCATTTCCTCCGCTAAACTCCGCTACCGCGACAGCGGGCCAATCAGAAAGAGAGTTGTTGGGAGCAGGGTGGCTGCCAGGCCCTGGGAATTTAAAAAAAAACCGGGAAAATACATAAAAGATCTCGAATATTTGAAAACCAAATTCATTAACGTCCTTAAGTTCATTTCTGCCGGTCGCGATCGTGATTAATTCGGCTCTGAGAGTACGTTTCACGCGAAGTGCGGCTTTGGCGGCAAGCGGAAATGTGTCACCAAGGCTTGACTGGAAAATCAAGATCTACTTTCGCTTTCGTTACTACCCAGAAATTTGTCAGTCATTGTCTGATAACACAACATTTATTGTAACATGCAGGTTCGGCATTACAAACGTGGTGTCGCCATGAAAATAAAATAATATTTGTCACTGCGCTGTCGCTTGTGGGGGCAACCAAAAAACAAAAAAAAGAAACGAAAAGAAAGTTATACTTGTGTAAGCGTCTTGTCGGACTCGCCATTGTGACCGGTCAATGAACCTGCGCACGTTCTGAGCGCTGCGAAGTACAGGACTCAGGAATGGGGGGAGATTATTTTGTTGTTGTTGCAAAGATGCACTCTGGGATAGGGGGAGGGCTGGATGCAACACCAGAGGACAAAGAAACTGAAACTGGAAGCAAATGTTTAATGTTTAGAATTTTGATTACTACTACAGCTCTCTACTCTCTGCAAAGTAAAGTGTCGTTGGTGCAGGCCTTGTGTGAAATCGGGAACCGTCATAACTAAAACTTGTAAGCATGTTTATGGAACTTAGGGGCCTAAGAGTTCGCGTTTCACTGGATTGGTGACAGTAAATTAGATCTCTATATTTTAGCTTTCTGTTTAAGATTTGCAGATTTTCAGTATCACTGCATCTTGCCCTCCCACAGTTCTTTCACCTCTCACACTGAATAGGTCTACTTGGGCTATTCTACTCTACTTTAAGTTTGAGCATTAATTTTTATCTTTCATGTTTAGTATATATAGATCTAGGCCATTAATGCTATGAGTCATGACAGTCGATATTCTGGTTCTAGGCTCAAAGCAAGATTCATTTTTATATAGTTTATATATTGGTATGAAATTACCTTGCTTTGATAAATTGATGGTTTTTATTTCAGCATTCTAGGGTTCAACAGTATAATAATACATGTAATGGGTGTTTCGCAAAAATAGGCTTCTGTGGCAATCACCAGGAAAGTTCCTCCTTTTTTAGAATTCTGAGTTGAGACCCATGAACTTGGCATAGAACTCGATAAAAGGTCACGTGAAACACTCAAGGAAGGAGTAGGCACATCTTTTAAGCTAGGGGGTGCGCACAGTCTATTTGAACCAATCAGAGGCAAATAGGTCATAAAAACTAGTTCACAGGTCAGTGTTGAATGTCAACTTGCCACAGCTGATAAAAACACTCTCGATGATCCCTTGTCAGCAAACGTGTGATGGAAGTAAACAAAAATGGCTGCTGCACAAACTGACGCATTCAATCAAACGCAAAACGCAATTTGAGGTTAAAAACAAAGGAAAACAAAAGTGCACGATCCGAGAAGGCGTACACGCAGGGGCTACACCACTCTAGATCTGGGTGTTCGTGCAATGAAATTATCAGATCGAAGGGACTATTTCTCCGAACGCTCAGGAAAATAATCTTGATCTCTATTTCTCCTTGCGTTTTCTGTTCTCTGGATTTTTTGTGCGAGATGTAGATCTAGGCGTCATCTTTCATTCTGCCATTCTGCGAGGACTGGAAAGAAGCATTTTTTGCATCGAATTCAATTTTTAGAGCTAGTCTAGATGTAGATCTAGATCTAAAGATTTTTAAATGTCTGAATATTCAGATACTTCAGTTGTGGTTGGGGCAATGTTCCCAGACTATTATACTTCATTTGAAAATGCCTTCAAAAGGTACCATACTTCAAGGAGTCACCCCTAAAGCAAACACTAAAATCCTTTCATGTAAACAAAAATAAAAGGCCGGCACTATTATTTTTTAAAATCAACTGATTTAAATCAACCCAACCCTGGTTGTGTTCACACATGCGCTGTCTAGATCTAGATCTATGGAGGGTTATATTGATAATGACACATAGAACTAGCATCTGCGTTTGTCGCGGCCGCGACCAATCAATCATCCATGACTCGATTTTTTTGGTACCCAAATCGGGGAATAAAAGTCAAATTTAAAACCAAAAAAACAAACCTCTTTACTTTTGAAAGAAAGTTCATCTTCACTTCTTTCTCACTTGTTGTCACCACGTTGAATTGTTGAATACATTACAGTTACATACAATTTGTATTGCTGTTCCTTTTTTATTTTTCCTCTTTGTGGTGTTTTATTTTGTTGGTTTGTAATTTTTTTTCTTGTTATTGTTCTGATGTGTTGTTTTTCTATTAATTTTGTTGTTGTTGGGGAAAAGGGATGTTGTATAGTGTAACGTCATTTAATTTGATGTTTCTACCTTCATTAGATTATAAATTTATATACACATGTATATAATATATAGATTTAAATGTGTTATGTTAGAGCGTTCCACCAAAACTGATTACATGTACTGGCAGGCCCCTTGTGTGTGACGCCATCATAAACATGTAATATCCTGTACTTATTTTTTTTAATCACGCACATTTAGGGTTAAAACAGCCAATCTTCTTTGGACAGGTGGACACACACCCTTATTTGTTAATTTTTGTGGTTGTTTATGGGCTGTTCTAATTTTGATTTCATTCTGTTGTGAAACCTTTCTTTTTCACGTTTTTAGACTCATCTAAAAATCTCTAGACAAACTTTTGAAAATTTAAATAGATCTAGACCCAAAAATTTGCCCCTTCCCAGACGTCGCAGGATGGCAGAATGAAAGTTGGCGCCGAACTCTCCCAAATAGCCAAAAAATCACGAGACCGGAAGCCGGAAACCGTTCGGAGAAATAAAGATCGGCACTATTTCTCAGAACGTTCGGAGGAATAGTCACTTCGAAAATAAAATCCCCCCACCCATTTGCAAATTATCAACAAATCTCGAGAACGGAAACTGCTTGGAGAAATAAGAGTTCCAGTTTATTTTCCCGAGCGTTCGGAGAAATAAGAGTCGGCCGTAACAAATTGACCCACTTATTAGACATGAGGAGCTCAAAAGGATAGCCAGGAAACAAGACATTCTATTTTACTGTACAAAATCTTTCAAATGAGCTTGAATTTATGCAAAATTAGATCTAAGCTCAGGGCTCCCCTTTACGCACAAATGTGCGTATATTACGCATTAAACCTGCCGATTAGCCCCTTTAAGTTTTGGTTGTGCGTGAGCTTTACTCTTCATAATTTCATTTGGGGGGTTTGCATTACGCTTTAAAACATAGATGGTGTGCGTCTGGCAAAGCATCATTTCTCCCCTTCTCTTTCCGAAAGCCGAGTCAATGATTTGACAACACACACCCACACACATGCGCGACAGTCACGTTCTGTGTCTGATGAAGTCGACTAGTCGACCTACTTATCAGCTGTGCACAGTTTCCGGCAACACAGGCTTGCTTCAGCACAGAAGCTCCGCCCACATTCTAGTCGCTCACATTTGCCGGTGTCGTGCCTTGAGCTTACCTCTGCCGTGAGATTACCCCCATCGTTCTTAAAGTAAACATGAATTGTCCGCCATCGAAAGTATGGAAAGACTGGAATGTGAACCCTGGGATGGCTCTGAAGAATAAGGAATCAGTTTATTTTCCAAACCAGCCACGCATCCCTGCCCTAAATCTCAAGCATCCCGATTTTGATCACGCGAACCCCGATTTGGGGGGGGGGGGGGTTGTTCCGTCTGTTGGGTGCAAATCTTTTGAGTGTCATTTTAATTATATATATAATGTAAAATCCTCTAGCTGGAAGTGGTGGTTTATACAGACGATTGACTGTGCAGGTGGCCGTTAGAGCAGGTTGGCTGCATTTTAGTTAATAAATCAAATGAACACTCCCTCAAAAAGAATGCTGTAGCCATGGTTTCAGGGTTTTGTTTTTTTGCTCTTGAATGTTTAAAAGTAACTGATAATAAATGTGTTTTTTCTTGCATTTGGATTAATCTTGTTTGTTTGGAATGTAGTTATCATCCTTTATTTATGTTTGTTCTTGTCAAGGCACTTGAAGAGAAGGATAAGGGCAATGCAGCCTATAAGAAGAAAGACTTTGACACGGCGATAAAGCATTATGATACAGCTTTTGGCCTTGATCCCACCAACATTACCATTCTCACAAATAAAGGAGGTAAGATTTTTTTTCTTGGTACACCCAGTGGCTTCCATTGCTGGCGAATCTAATAGTAGTTAGTTTTGATTGCAGTAGAAGGTGATCTTTGATATCTCAGAATGGAAAGAAAACCTTCACATATAGTCTCAGGACAAGACTCAAAAGGTGGATTACTGTAGATTTTATTCAACTTGTGCTATGTTCAAATTTGCCTTTGCTTTGTAAAGTACATTTTACCCAGACCTAATTATAGGAATAAGAATAAAAGTTTTATGACTTTTGTCAGTTTTTAAAGCTCTTTCTGATGAAAGTTACAATCAATTATGGATGTTCTTTGTTGTCTCTCCTAGTTAGTGGGATTACTCATTAGTGTGTGTGCCTCCCAGTGGGATAGTGCACACATTAGTTATAGTTTTCTCATGCTCCAGGCCACAGCGACAACAGTTCCTGCGATAGATCCTATTTTAGTATTTTAGATGATCAATATGGATATCTGGTAGACCTCAGTGTAATTTTTCTGCTTGTAATCATTTAAGTATAGAAGTTTATTTGGTTTGTGGTCTGCACGATGTAATGTTTACTCCTTTCCCTCCCCAGCTGTGTATTATGAGCAGGGAAATCTAGAAGAATGTATAAAGACTTGTGAGAAAGCTATTGAGGTTGGCCGTGAAAACAGAGCTGACTTTACACTTATTGCAAAGTAAGTGCGTAATAATATTAATGTTTGTGTTTTGTGTCAATTATAGTTGGGTTTTTAATTAATTTTCCTCTTTTTTGTGTGGATTTTTTTTTTCTCTTATTTGTTGTTGTTGTTTGTTTCTTTCTTTCTTGGTTTGTTGGGGGGGTTTTTCCACTTAAGGAAATAAATATGGTTTGGAAACTCCATGTTTGCCATTAAGATATTGAGTGTACAGATACTAGTTGTAGTATTGTGACCAACACCCTTGCTTTGAAATAGCAACGGGTATTTCATGTGTTGGTAAATGTTTCAGAGTGAATTGACCCCTTTTCTTTCTGTATTTCTCTGTCTGGTCTAATAACAACTTCATAAATGTGAAGCTTAGTATACATTTGTACTGAAGGACTCAGTTTATCTCCTTTAATTTTTCCTTGTTTTGTACGACTGTTGATTGTCTTCTCTTCAGCTCCTATAGGACTGTATTTAAATTAACTCTTAATGGTGCTATGTATTTGAAGGGTGCAGGGGGGGGGGGGGAACAAGATGTCAGATTTTAGGATGAATTGAATTGTGGCGTTGGTGGGAAGGTGGTCCATCCAGGGCTAAAACCTGATGCGTTGCCCAGTATCAAGCTTTGAAAATAAACCATACTATGGGGGGGAAACATAGGCAGTCAGGCATTTCATATTGTTACAAATTCTCAAAATGCCATTCCCTTGTGCTCTTCATTTTTTAATGCAATGCCATAAAGAATTCCTTGAATAATATTCTCTTTTGTTTTTGTGACATTTCAGAGCATTTGCAAGAATAGGAACAGCATATGTGAAGAAGGATGAGTTGGAGCAAGCCTTGAATTACTACAACAAAAGTTTGTCAGAACATCGTGCTCCAGATATTGTAAAAAAGGTTCAAGAAGTAAGTGAAAATTTTGGTTCTGGTTGTCACAGGAAGATTTTCAAATCTGTCATGTTTTTGTTGTGGTCTTTTTTAAGTGATGTATTATTTGGAATTGTACCAGTGAGCAATTCAAAAGAAAAGAATTAACTATATGGTTTCTTTTTTGTATCATCTCAGCCAGAATCTCAATGGTCATTGCAGAAATAGGCAGCATGCTGATTAGGGAATGATTTTTGTCTGTTGCTGTCCCATGAACACTGGCCGTGTTTCAGGGCAAAATGAAAGTAACACAAATATCATCATGTACTTGTGCCAAGTCCTTTTGCTCATCTTTTGAGTTCTTGGAAAAATCATGTTTTTCTTGTGTAGTGTCTTTAGGCCATTCCCAAGGGGGGGTACATTTCTCGTTCAAGCATAGTAGAATTGTAAATGGGCTGACTCATGTCTCGCTCATAACTGTGCCTGATCTACAACAGGGAACTGCTGCTTTTTCTTTCCTGATCCTTACTATTGTCATTTTCCTCTACTTCTTTTGTATGTTTGTCACTCTCTTGTGACCTGCTATTTCTGGGGTGCCTTGATAGTCGAAGCAGACCTTATGCTGTTGAAGCTAGAGAGGTGAGCAGTCTAAGTCTGATTCCCTGTAAAGACTTCTCTGTTGACACCCACCCCTTGGCGCTCATATGACCTTATGCAGTTGCGAGTGCCGTAAAACCCTCTACTATAAAAAGAAAATTAATTTTTAAAAATGTTTTTCTCTCTTGACAATTTAAGAGGCAATGTGCCTTGTTATGAAAGTGTGGTTGAGTGTTTGTGGGGTTGGGGGGTTTTTTTGCTGTGAGTTATACTCCCTATTATTGAAGAGGGTTAAGAATGAGGAAGACAGAAGGTAGATGCAATGCAATGAGATAAATATCAGACTGGTGCGTTGGAGCATGGAGGTTCACGTGCGTCATTCCACAATGAGATGGGGGGTTTATATCGTGCTGGTGGATGCTGGATGTATTTATTTCCCCTCCCCCTTATAAGTTTAGATCTAATCTTTACATGTAGAGATTGAAAAGAATTATACTTAATGTCGTGTATTTGCATTTTATTTTGCAGATGAGAAGTTTTTAGTTTTGAGGAATCTTTTGCCCGAGTGAAAATGTATCACTCTCAGGTGGTCACTGTCATACCAGTATCATTTTTCTCGCGATTTGTTTGCTTTTGTTCTTCTTTTGTGTTTTGTACAGTTTGCATATTTCTGCTCTACAGCTACAACAAAAGATAAAAGAGAAGGAGAGGCTGGCATACGTTAACCCAGAGCTTGCTAACTTGGAAAAGGAGAAGGGGAATGCAGCGTTCAAAGAAGGTAAGTTTTGACAGCCATAAAAGATTTGGTTGGAACGGCTTTGGTCTATGACAAACCTGTTATATTCAGTTGGGAGGCTCATAATCGTTGATTTGTATGTTATGATGACACTGTCTAAGGCGTCCACATGTCTAAGACAACCACTTTTCTCCTTCAGTATGGGTAGCTGTCTTGGAGAATTTCAACTGTACCTTGATTTCAAGAAGAAAGAAGAGTATTATTAAAAATGGAATAAAAGGGGAGATTTTGGTTCAGGTGTACTAGACAGATGGAAATATAGTTGAAATGCTAGGCCTAATCCACATCAGTCCTAAAAGAATGTTATGTGAGCTTATTGGTATGTATGAAAGCAGAGGACATTCATTTCTTTTATCAGTGATTTCATTATTTGGGAATGTATTCTTTTATTATATTGCTACTGTTTCTCCCAGGCAAGTATCCAGCAGCCATCGGCTCCTACACGGAGGCTATCAAACGAAACCCTGAAGATGCAAAATTGTTCAGCAATCGAGCAGCATGTTACACGAAACTCATGGAATTTCAGCTTGCTCTGAAGGACAGTGATGAGTGCATTCGACTAGACCCTAAATTTAGTAAGTTTTATTCTTTTCTTTAAGATTTTTTGGGGGGGTGATGATTCTGTGGAGTGTAACTCATTCGCTACTCCGAGCCGTAGGCAGCGGCGCGGCGAAAGTGACTTCACTGAGGCAAGCCGCCCCCAACGGCTCGAGAACCGACCTATAATTCTAGCTTTGATTTTTATTCCAATCCACATATCCATGTTAAAATAAAGGTTATAATATAACATTGACTTCCGAGTCGAGCGTTTCCACCGAAAATTGGAAGTTTAGATTCAGTTTTGAAACGGGATTTCAAAGTTTGTGCGACTTTGTTTTATTGCGATAACAAAATTATGGCCCAGACACCAGTCATAGTACGTTTACACAACAAAATGTATTATTATTTTGCTCACTAAAGAAATGTAGGACTCTTCTTTAGAATATTGATACTATTGGACTCAAATTGCCAGTGCTCTGTTATTGAGAAATCAATATTTTTCAGTGCCAGATCTAGATTAGATCTTAATTGTCAAAATATTTTTTCTCCCCAAAATATCTATTTTTTGGGTGAAATCAGGCAAAAAGTAACACTCAAGACATGTATAGGTTTATTCCAAATGCAATTCTGAATAATTCCATATAAGATACGAGTGGGGTTTTTTTTTTCTTGTTTGTGAATGCATCTTGTCCTTTTTTAGGATGTTATGATCCAAATGTGTGAATTTTATGGAATTTATGTAAATAACTGCAAATTTTTCAATATTTTCCTGTTCTATATTCATTTATGGTTATTTTGATATATCATTTAATTAGGTGCAAACAAATTTTTTGAGTTTCACCAAAGATTTTTTGTTTCTTTTCAAATTTTATCCACATCCAAGCAAAATTATGTTGCATAATTGCCTCTTACTGGAACAAAGTTGAAAAACACATTTAAACATTACAGATGTTTTCTGCAAACCATACTGAGAATTTTGGTATATATGTTGATATTCTTTTAAATTTGTGGCCCCAAAGACTTGCGAACTGCGCACTAGTCACCATCTCATTTCGCCCTCCTAAAAAAAATCGTCCAGAAGCCGAAAATAATATATAGCGAATGAGTTAAGTTTCTCTTTATCAAACATGAACAATTAACATTAAGATCTGAATTTTTGATTGATTGAAATTTGGAATGCGAAAGAGCTAAAGGTGTGCCTTCAGCAGTGTGATGATGTGTACTGCGTGTATTCCATTTGATAGGAGACCTTATTTTCTTGATTTTCCATTTTTACAAGGAATAAGATAGTGTAAGTGCTCATTACCTACCCTTTGAGCACTGGCGTCTCGAGCCTACAAGGCCCATGCGTTTGAGCTCCTTTTGATCAACTACTGGGTTTAATATCTTGCGCTCCAGAGCTTTTATTTGGTGTGCAATCTGGCAAATGTCTCAGAAGCTTAGCCATGCGTGTGTTCTCGGATCCATAGTGAATTTTGTCTTAATAGTTTATGATAAAAAATAAAAAATAAATTTTATTGTTTGTTTTTATAGATGTTGATCGTCGGTAATGTGAAAACTTGATGTATAGGAGACTCAGAGAATGCCTTCTTGTTTTGTCTGGAACCAAGGGTGTCTTTATGTTATACAAACACTGAGATTTTGGTAATTTTGTTAAATATTCTATATGATTTCTTTAAGGATATCCTTTTAAATGTTTCTCTGAGTTCTAATTGTACTTTTTATTCTATACCACAGTCAAAGGCTTTCTACGTAAAGGCAGTGTATTGTTAGCAATGAGAGAACCGACCAAAGCAACCGTGGTGTACCAAAAGGCCCTTGAGATTGATTCTAACAATGCGGTAAGTAGTATTTTTGTTACTAATAGCGCTGGGAATTATGAGTTTTGTTAATAGTGTAGGCGCATATGGCTTGGAAAGAGGGGAGCTTGAAAATGATATTTGTTGTCTTTAACCCTGCTGAACAGTTGCTGACAAGCTCGTTTAAAAAGCAATTTTGCCAATTTACCTAGGCCGACAGGTTTTTAAAAAATTTATTTATTTTTAAAAAATTTATTTTTTTTTAAGGTGGGTATATGCAAACAGGAGGGCCGAGATCCACCAGGGCATATGGGATATAGCTGGATTAAGATGGAGAAGATTGCTCAGAACCTAGACAGGTTCTTAGCTACCTATATCCAATATGGGGGGGGGGGGGATTACAGTCATATAAGGATGACGCAGATCATATGTTTATGTATGAATTATCATTTCTTTGCAGATAGTATTGGTGACTACTTTGTTCACTTCTTCTAAATGAAATTCAGAGATCATTATAATGCACTGCTGAAACTTGTAAAAAAAAACATTAACTAAAGGACAAAGTATAATATAATGTCAACATGTTTTTATGCAATAATCCCCGCTAAATTTTATACCTATGAATATGTAATGGAAATTGCAGGAGGCTTTGGAAGGGTACAGGAAAGCCCTGATGCTGGAGAGCGAGGACCCAGAGGCTGTGAAGCAGAAGGCCATGTCTAATCCGGAGGTGCAGCAAATTTTGAGCGACCCTGCCATGCAGATGATTCTAGGCCAAATGTCAAAGGACCCCAAAGCAGCCAGGGAGTAAGTAGTCCATTTCAAGATTTTCTCTGCTCTCCAGACACCTATGTCCTTTTTCTTTATGTTAGGGGACCCTGACTTAACGCTTCATTAGAATTACAAAATTCTACCTGACAGTTTTGGCTGTTTTAAGTTACTAAGCCCATCAGGTCAGAAACTACATGTTTTATCTACTTATCAAAATAGTCAGATTGTTCTGAGTCATTATCAAGATATTCAAATTCAGAGAATTGCATTCGAAAATGCTTGACATGTTGTGAAACTCAAAATTGTTAACATCAAATTTCTTAACACCAGGCAGGCCTATTGAGCAGATAGAATTTTGTACTTCTAGGGTAGTGATTAGTCTGGTTATAATGCTGCTGACTGAGTACAGTGTTGTGTGACGTTGCCATCTTGAATTGTATCTTTGATAGAGTGTACTCATCTACCTTCTATAAGTTAGAGGGTTTACTGTGATATTACAGCTGACGTATAAGGGACTTTTATGGTTTGGGGGGGGGGGTGATAATGTTCGTTGGTTTTAGGTAAATTTGTCAGACTAGACACATTGTTGGTCTTTACAAAGATGTGTTATTTGCTCTCTCATCAGAGGGAAGAAATGTGTGAAGAAAGAAGCGAAAAATTTTGCCTTTCAAAAAATGTATACCCCTAACTTCCATAGGTGAACCTATTTTAGAACCCCACTTCATGACAACAACACACAGTCGGAATGAATATATTATAAGTAGTGATAGCGGCCAAGTAAGAAGACGGTATTTGACACTGTATGCACATAGCTGCCAGCCAGTACTTTAAAAGTATTTTATAAGTTTTTGAGTACGGAAGCCCATTTTTGTATTAGAAAATTCTTATTCTCTAATTACCAGTATTGCCCACCACAGACTTGCTGATGCTGAAGAAAAACTATGAACTTTCAAGGACAAATTTGCAAATAATAATGAAAATGAAGTCAGCTGGAAAGACCTTTACTAAACATTTCTGACATCGCTGCAAGTCTGCTTTTAACCCTTCTAGTACTGTCTGCGACTTAGTGGCCAGGCTGTAGTATGCTCTCATTACCGCTGGCGACTTTAGTTGCTAACTCAACCAGGCACACTTAAGATAATTACGCAATAAATTGAGCAACTGAACTGACGTAAATACGGAAGGAAGTCACTCTGTATGATAACTGAATGGTTGATGATGAATCTCAGTGAATTTTTCCATGTGTCTTGTGCTGCGAAGTAAAAAAAAATTTTTTTTAACATTCTATCATTGCTTTAGCATTCTAAACTGGTGCGATACCTGAGGGTTTTTCACTATATGAGCCTTAGGTGCTGTAAGTGAAGTGTTACTAGCTTAAATTTATTGAGTGCACCAAAGGGGGGGACATTGACCATGTTCTTATGCACAGTAGAATTGTAATTGTAAACAGGCTGATTTATCAATGTCATGCACATAACTGTGCCTGAAGTGCAACAGGGAACTGCTGCCTTTTCTTTCCTAATCCTTACTATCGTCATTTTCCTCTACTTCTTTTGTATATGTGTCACACTCTTGTGACCTGTGGGTGATTGGCGGGTGTTCTGGTGTAGTTTGCTTCTTCTTTCCTATCAAACATCTATCGTCCTTATCTCTCCTCCTTTTTTGTGTATGCTACTTTCTTGTAACACATCTATTCTCCGGCACTTATATGACCTTATTGTGTTGCAAGTGCCGTAAAACTCTAAGTAAAACTAAACTCTTGTGACCCCGCTATTTCCGGGGTGCCTTGATAGTCGAAGCAGACTTACTGCTGTTGAAGCTAGAGAGGTGAGCAGAGTAAGCCTGATTCCCTGTAAGGAGTTTTTTTTTTACTTCCATCCCTTGGCGCTCATATGACCTTATGCAGTTGCGAGCACCGTAAAACCTTACTAAAACTAAGTCAAAGTGTTTAAAGGGTTTAGAGGGGTTACTTGTCCATTACCCACCACCTTGACCGGCTGCATAGGTGGAGAGCCTTTTAAAAAATCTTTTTTATGGTAACAGGTATGTGTGCGGGGGGCTTTCTGACAGTTTAAAGACAGAGGCAGATTATAGCTTTTGTTTTTATAGTCGTCGCCTGGTATAGCGAAAGAGCAAAGAAACTGAGATCTGAATTACTCCGTTTTCACCAATACCACTCGCTCGGAAGGCCAAGAGGGCCCAAGAGGCCATGTTTACACTACCTAATTAATCTTACATTCATCTAAAGTTTTTTTTATATTATTTTTGGTGAAGTAAATTCATGGTGTCTTTTTAAAAGTATTTTATATTTTGTCAATGGGAGTCTTAGATATGCTATAATTGTTTTTTTCCTTGGTGTCCCTGAGTCATGTGATTTTCATAATGTCAAAATTAACGATTCTGTTTGTTCCATTCCTCAGACATTTAAAGAACCCTGAGGTGGCAGCAAAGATACAGAAGCTCATGGAGTGTGGCATTGTGTCCCTCCACTAAGGATAGGCCAGACTAGGATCGTACTCTCATCATAACCATTTTTGGGACTTACTATTTCTACATGATTTGCTTTCTTTTTCTTTTTTTTTTTAAATTTTGGATACAAATTCCTGAAATCAGAAATGTCATCATTGTTTGTTTTGAAGAGAAGGCTAACATATGTGCATGAGTGAAAGATGTGCATGTGGCCTTTTCGTCTTCATTGCTTAACTTACTGCTATAAGAATATGTAAGAGTTTTGAGTCAAGCCTCAATATTTGGGCAATTTTGTGTTTGTCTTTTCTGCCATGGAATTTGACCAATGTAATTGATGATAGACATGCTTTGTGGTTAAATGTGGTATTAATGGTAGACGTTTCTCTATTTTTACACTTCAAATCTTTTTGTCTTGTCTTTTGACAAATAAGATTTGTGATGTTAACATTCATAAGTTTTTTGTGGTGTACAGAATGGTACTGTTAATTCTTTTTTAGATTGACGGGCTATCTGTTAAAAATACCTTTCAAGCCTGCTTGTTGTAGTTTATTTTATTCCCTGGTTTTAACCGTTCTTGGCGTTAAAACTTTTTTTTTAGAAAAGTCTGTGTTCATTAAGGCTTTATGCTTTGTTTGGCATTACAATACAATTTTTTGTGTGTTTAACCCATTCCCTCCTAGATTGACCTCGAAAGTCGACTGCTGCAGGAATCCTTCTTTACCCCTAGATCGACTATTGTCGCTGGATAGCGTCATGTTTTGGACCTGCCATATTTTCCTGTAGATTATGTCAAAGAAAATCTTGTACCAATAGACTTGTAGTGTGAGTTTTAACTTAGCAAGATTATCCTGTTTTTGTGCAGATATTTATAGATCCCGCTTTTGAAGTACTTGAAAGAAAGAAATGACCGTTTGAATCTTATGCTTTTTTTTCCCACTGATTTACCTTTCCCCTCAAGGTGAGTTTGAATCCAGATGTTTCAGTGAAGCTTGCTTGTAATGAAGTCGTTGGGCCCAACGTTCAAGCTCATTATGTCAAAGGTGTGACTAACGTGAGCATATTTATTCGGTGACGGTGTGGACATCCGTTTCTCAAAAGTGTCACGGTGCTTGTAATAATGGAAGGAACCAAATGTGCTACAAGGTGCATGCTTATATGAGCGGCTCCTTCCCTTGACATGGTCCCTGAAGAATAGAGTCAGACTTGTGCAAGATTCACTTTTAGTTTTATAGGTTTTTTTTCCACATGGACCATACCAAGGCTAGTGCTTGGTCAGGAGGAGAAATCGGACGTTGGTGAAGGTTTAGACGTAGATTTAGTTCCGAGTCAGATGACGAAGAGCAACTAGAGCTGATCAGTGGGCCATACTTGGTAAGCCAGAGAAATTGGGAAAGCCCTTGAGACGTCGACTGCTGTTTGTTGAATTAAATGTTCAATCTGTTATCAGTTTTGCAGTTTATTTGATGTTTTCAATCATCATCATGTGTGGTTGCCTTTGTAAACGATTTTTTAAAATGGTATTTAATTGGACAGTTCTGCTCCTTCTTTTTAAGGGAAAGATGGCAATTTTTCAGAATGGAGGCCTCAGGTTTGCTTGAGGTAAATATGACCCAGGCAAGCAGGTTATTATGAATAGAAGCTATGTTCTGTCAGGTTGTGTTCCTTAGCATGTACTCGAGGGAGGTTTACTTTATAGGCATAAGGTTTGAGAATATGATCAGTTTTGTTTGCTTTTACCACTTCTCAGGAGTAACTTAATACCCAATATATATATAAAGTAAAATCATTCGACAGATTTATATATGTTAATCTTAAATGAAGCCTGCAACAGCCGGCATTTACAGGCTTTCATGTGGCCTCATGGTATCCTTCGTTACTTTAAATTCTGGAATTGATCTTTACTTGGTCAGTCATACTACCGATTAGTTTCTCATGCTACCTTAATGTGAAAAATCTCCTCAATGCCAATTCCTTCACTTCTGGCCTGTTGAATGAAACTGCAGCCCTTTTAAAAATGAGTGGAAAGTATAACTGGTTAATCGAAACTGTTGTGGGTTTTGCACGTTGATACTTCCACCCCTTTTTCTTTCCATCGTTTTACTCTTTATTTCTTTTACTTTTACTTCTTTGCCTGTTTTTCTTTCAAATAGAATATGCACAAGAGTATTTGTTCACTGTGATGAGGTCAATGCAGACATGTTGTAACATGCATAATGCCGTTAGAAAGTCGTGAAATTTTGTGTGAGGAAATCCTGTTATGATTCAGAATTTGCAGAAATTTTCAGATGGTCTCTGAGTATGGAAAGCAGCTCTTGGCGATGCTCTGGTGTGTTTTCAGTTAGTGTATGTAAGGAAGTAAGATATAAACTTAACGACGTGATGGTAAAAAAGGATGGTTTGATGTTGTTGTTTTTTATCATATATAATGGGAATTATTAGACCAGGTCAGGTGGATACAGTGCACGTTTTCAACATGCATTTTCTTGTTGTTGGTTTTTTTTTGTTTTTTTTTAACCTGAACAAGTTCTTTCATTGTGGTTATTAGTTTTGGAATTGTACATTTTCCATGGTGTGAACACATATTTTGCCAGGCCACAATTTAAATTCTTTCAAACTAAAAGAAAATTACCGGTTAGGGCAGCAAAATAGGAATTCAGTGAATTTAGTAGTAGTTTGAAATCAACTCGTATGTAGAAAGTTGATGATCTTTTGAACAAATTTGTTTGTGGCCCGAGTATTATTATTCTCCTTTGAGATTTGTATAGAGACACGTGTAAGAAATTTATTGAAATAAATTTCATTGAATTGCCAATGATATGACTTCTATCACCCGCCTTTGGTTGTTTATTGTTTCAATTTGCTAATGATTTCCTTATTCTGTTACGAATTAAATGCTCCTCAAGTTAAGGACTACGAATGTTATAGTATAATGATGATAATAGTTCGTCCATCATGAACTGATGAAGACCTGTAACATCCAAGGAAAGAAGAGAAGGTATAGACCGTGCTAGTTACGCGTACTGGTAAACAGCAAGGTAAAGAGAGAGCAGAGTTAATGAAATGATAGCAAGAAACCTGAACTGTAATTGGACGCTTTTACTTTTAAGGACAAGCAGGCTAACCCAGATTTCGGGGGTTTCCAGAAATCTTAACCTACACCAAAAGTGGGCATTGCCTTACCTATAGGAGAATTTTGGCTTCATTGGTGTGTATATTAATTTGGTTATAGAGAAAACTCTCCTTGTCTTTCAAAGAAACTGAACAAGGGCAAAAACTTAACCTGCGATTGTCTCAAAACAGCATTTTTCGGGATAGCCCCCTTGTGCTTAAAAGCGACCAATTGCAGTGCTTCCACTCTTCCGTATTTTTACGGAAATCCGTACTTTCTGCCAGTTCCGTACTTGTCCTTCCATCATTATCTACTCCCTCCGTAAAAAAAAACTGCGACAGTGCAGGACTGCCGAAATTCCGTACTCGCCTTCGTATCGTCTTGTATAAGGTACGGATATTTACGGTAATTCTCTCGGCAACAATCTAACGTTATAGAAACCTGCCAAATTGCGCATTTCCTGCAATCGGACATTATACCGCTATGCCCCAGTCCCATGCATTCATTGCAGTACATTTTTTACCTGCAGATGGATCAAAATCTGGCGAACCTTTTGTGCCAATGTCCTCCTTTCTGTCATTCACTCATTCCTTCTGTCTATCTTCGGATTGTTGCCGCGGCTGGAAAATCTGCGCGTTGATCAAGACTGATTTTGATCTTAGACAGAAAATTACTGTCGGAAAGAAACTTTTTTCGCAAATTTTATCTAGATCTAGAGAAATTATCAATGCGAAGATTCTACGGCACGTGAACGCAATATAAGGGCCGCGATGAAAGAATAATGATGCTGATACGGTCGTGCCCACTACGGATGGGATCGGCCGATTGCGCTGATCGCCCGACTCGGTCGAACAACCGTGTTTGCTTTGAAACTGAAAACAAACACGTTTGTTTTTGAGGCGATCGAGTCGGGCGATCGGCCCGATCGGCCGATGCCGTCCATAGTGAGCACCACGTATAAAATCAAGAATAATTCGAAGTGGTGTTCCGAGGTTGTGACAGGCGACATTCACTTTCAGACATGAAAATTTAGAAAAAATGTGGGTATACGCTGCGCAACCGTATTTTGAAGGTACATCTATTCATTATTCCCAGGTTTGCCTGCTGTCAATGGTGCGACTACAAATTAATTGAATTATAGTAGCAATGAAAGGGGAACCTGCTTTTAAACATTTCCAACATTGGAAAGATATGCTGGCGATGAAGTCAAACAAGACAAAATGTTGGTGAAAAATGAATATTATGGGCTGTAGGCAATATCTTCAAACAGGCTCCCAAATGCCAATTTTCTACCCTCTAAAAGCACTAGATTTCTATTTCTTCGGGGGCTTCGCCCCCTGAACCCCCACCGGGACTCTGTCCCTGGACCCTGCTGGGGGCCTCTGCGGCACCCAGACCCCCTGCAGAATTTTCCTTACTTTTCAGCTTCAGCTGGTGGAAGCACTGCAGTTGTAATGATCACAAATTCCCCAACCTACGGAACAGCCCTTATTCTTTTCCTAAAGTTGTGTGCTTGTCTGCCCAAAGTATGGTTTGTAGGTTAACCTTCTTATTATGGCTTCACATGTTACCTTCAAGCCCTATTCATTTTTTAGAAAAATTACCATGATCAGAGCACGACTTGTGGTCAGTTAGGCCAATGTCAATGTCAGGATTTGACTGTTGTGAGTGGGTGGTTGGAGGGTGCTCTGGTGTGGTTTGTTCCTTCTTTTCTTTCAAACATCTGTTTTCCTGATCCCCCCTCTTTTTTGTGTTTGTTAATTGTTACTGTTCTTGTAATACCTAGTCTTAGGTACCTTAAGTGACCTAATTGTGTTGCAAGGGCTGCAAAACACTTACTTACTAAAAACGAAAAAGGACTCGTGATTTTCTTGCTTTACTGGCTGCCTCTGCTTTATAAACTTTTTCTCAAAAATATTACTGCCACATGTCACAGCTTTTAGTCACTTCGGCATTATGGTATTAGTATTTTTGCTTTTGCACACAGAATTCTATGATTTCATGATATTTTTTAGAATGAGTTAGGAAGATGATAGAAACGAAGGTTCAGTCTCTTCTTATAATACATACATGTAGCCTACCTGTCTGTGGTTAGTGATAAAAGGGCGATAAGATAAGCAGCATCAAGGTTCCTGCAACATCGGGAGTCTAAAACATCCTCTATGCAGCTGGCAGGGGTTACACCAATACCAACAGAGAAAAAATAAACGTGAAGAAAGTCAGGTTTCCTCAGTATCCGTCTGCTCGTCCCTTCATGAAATAATATGTCAAAGAAATCATAGGTGAAGACTCTAGCCCTTGGCCTTGGATCTGAAATGACTCTGCATGCCATTAGATTGCATTTCTAAACGGTATCCGCTTGGCTTATGCAGTTGCAGGCGCCGTAAAACCTGTACATGTAGGCTACTTGTACTAAAACAAAACAAAATGGTATCCGCACACTCTGTTCTCATCTTGTGAATGGTTGGTTGGCGGGTGCGCTGGTGTGGTTTGCTTCTTCTTTCCAATCAAACATCTGTCGTCCTTATCTCCCCTTTTTTGTGTTTGTTACTCTCTTGTAACTCCTCTAATCTTTGGCACTAATATGACCTTATTGTGTTGCAAGTGCCGTAAAACACTTACTGAAACAAAATCATCTTGTGACCCGTGTGCTCACCAAAATAGGTAAATGTACCACAAAACTACCATTACCAACTCAAATATAAACACACCAGCAACAAATACAAAATACAACAGCAACAGTAGATACAAGTATAACTCAGTTACTGTTACATGTATTAACAATCAGTGGATATAACATCACGACATAGAGACTACGCGAACAGAAAGAACAGCTTCAAGATAGATGGATCAAAGGGAGAGAGAGAGAGAGAATCCACCGCGCCATGCAACATGTTGCTACTTCAGAATTACAATGTTCTCTCTGACATTTTTAGCAATTTTGAGTTACTACCCAAATGTTATAACTTACATCTGCTCGATCAAAATAGTAAGACTATTCGGAGTTGTTATCAAGATCAAAGAAAGGCATTCGAAAATGCTTTACATGTTATGAAACTGAATTTTTTTAAACGTCAAATCTCTCAAAACTAGGTACTGAAATTGACAGAACCTTGTAATGTAATTCTAATGTAGTAATGTTTGGGCCAAAAAGACCGCTGGCTCAGGCAGGCGTGAGGAAAGTTGAAGAGGGGGGGGGGGCGCCTCCCTTCGAAGGTGCTTTCTCCAGAATTCGACGATTTTAATAATCATCACAGAATTAAAAGCAAACGAAGAGCTAACACACACACTCACACACACACACACACACACACACACACACACACACACACACACACACACACACACACACACACAAGTACTGCACAGTCTTTTTTTTTTTAAGATTTGTAAAACAAGAATGCAAAAGACACATAATAAACAGGACAATTCAAATAGTAGTTCATTCTACATATTTATTTCGGATTAAAGTGTACATTTTAATGAGATGTAAGTATTAATGTTCCTTTCTACAGCAAGCAGCAAGGAGATTAAAAAGTACTTTACTTATACTTATTTCAAAAATTCATTTAACAAAATCAGCGTTAAAAAAAGGCAAGCAAACTGCTCTTTGAAAGTTGGCTTTTATTGGAGCATTTTTCTTTCCCTTTTGGGCACGATGAATTAGGTTCTGAACAGAGGAAAAGGCCATGATGTCGGCAAAGATCGAGAAAAATGGTTCTAACGGAAAAGAGAACAATAATACATGTATTTTGTCACTCCAACAGCTGTGGGTGGGACCTTCAATTTGCAATATTTCTCTTCTCTACCGTGTTGTAAAATGGGTAGGCCATACCTTCTCAAATTCCTTTGAACTACAGGAGCAATTGATACTGGAAGTGTTCAGACCTTGATTGTAAAATCTGCTTCTATAACTTTCAGTGCAAATGCACACAATTGAAAACCCCCAAGTTAGAAGTCTATATTATATTATGTATAAAATGTTTATAAATTTCTATGTGGGTACATTTATGTGAGTGTGTATGATACTTTCTTATGTACACACTTCATACTGATAAAACTGACTAAAGTAATAGTTGTTTGGTTGTTGTTTTGAGTCAGAGAGGTTATGTCTGTAGTAATCATTAAGCAAGTTTCTCCCAGGCGATCAGAAAGCTGGCTGGCTGGGATGAGATGTCCAGTCCAGGGATGTCCGTGTCTGATTAGATGATGCTCTTCTTCGACATGTCAATTAATGGTTTGCAAGGGAACTCCGGGGGCAGTTGGAACTGATGATAGATTTATTAAGACGACCTGATGATATATATATACATGTATTAAGACGACTGATGATGTTTGAAAGATTACATGGAACCTGAAGAGTCACAGAAATTGATCTAATTGATGTGCAGAAAAGTGTGAAGACATGAAATATGGAATGACATCAAAAGGCCAGCCCGGGATAGGGAAAAGTGGAAAGTGTTTATTCGTGGCTTATACTCTAACCTGGGGTCAGAAAAGGCAATGATGATGATGATAATGATGATGATTGTTTCTTTATAGTAAGAGTTTTAAGGCATTTGCAACAAAAATAGATCATATAGGTGCCCAAGCTTAGAGGTGTTACATGTACTAAAGAGTAACATTAATGAGGATAGAGGAGATCATAAAAGAGTTCAGATGCTTGAGAGGAAGAAAAAGCAAACCACACTTGAGCAAGCACCAACCACCAACCAACTGCTGAGCAGAAGTCAGTTTTAAACTCTTTGAATGTGTACGTCTTGATCAATAGACAGCGCTTGAAGATCGGTTTTGTTTTGTTTTGTAGTTGTTTGTTTCTCCCCCTCCCCCTCCCCCTCCCCCTCTCTCCCTCTCTCTCTCTCTCTCTCTCTCTCTCTCCCTCTCTCTCTCTCTCTCTCTCTCTCTCTCTCTCTCTCTCTCTCTCTCTCTCTCTCTCTCTCTCTCTCTCTGCCTGCAGACTGCAGACAAAATTACATGCTTTCAACTCTTGAGCGCTTGGGCGTTTGTTTACACTCGTATCACGGGCCGTCACACGCTAAGACAAGGTCACGCGCGGACACGAGATAGATCTAGGGCAATTAAAACATCTTGGTAGTTGAGAATATTGGTACTACTGTGACACAAATTACGGGTCAATAATTCCGTAGAGCTGCGGAAGCGTGTGCAGTATGCCTGCGTCCCTTACACTAAAGTCTATCAGTGCAGTGTTGTTGAAACGTATTACCGTACGCGTCCTACAGTCCAGTCTGGAGAAGCATAGTTATCTACGTGTCCCTAACAACAGTGCAGTGTACGAGAACGGTGCGCGCCCGTAACAACATCATCATCATCATCACCCAGTGCGAGGTCTGCGACAGACATCGGCGATCATGTTACTCCATTCATTCCTTTGCTCGGATGCTCTCAAAAAGGCCACTTTCCCTGATCTTTCCCTGTTACCCGTTTTTTTAAGGTTCCCCAAGTATGTTGCTCTGGGCCGTCTCCTGCCCCGCTTGCCTTCAATTTTACCAGTGAGAGCTAGATGTTCAAGACCTTTATTTCTATTTATGTGTCCCAAAAACTGCATTTGTCGTTTCCTGATTGTTTTTAACATTGAGCGTCCCACGTGGGCTTCATGAAGCTCTACCTCATACTCTAACAACAGCCATTCAAACATTCACTGGGGTCTCTCTGCCTAAGTCTTAGACAGCAGCATCCCAAAAACAACGACTGAGAATCTTTTGAGAAAAGAGAATAAAACGACAGCCATGACCCTCACACATAAAAATTGGTCTAATTGAAGGTGTTCAAATCTTGGCTCTCGACAAATGCCAAATATGCCAAGTCAGCTGTTTTCCACAGGCCCTTATAGCACCAACAAAAGTGCTCAGATTCCTGCAGACAGTTCTTTTTCTACAGAGCAAGACTAAGCATAACTAAAACTTGGTAAAACACTATTGAATAAATTATGTACGAGCCTTCTCCCCCTAGAAAATCCATTTACTCTTTAGTTTAGTGTCGATCACAAGCACCGCCTTTGAAACATCTTATTTACAGCTGGCAGGGGTTAAACCAATACCAACACACACAAAAATACGAGTACAGAAAATCTTATAAATCTAAGCTTCCTCGGTATCTGTTCGCCCGTCAAAGAAATCAATACCATAGGTGGACTCTAGCCCTTGGATCTGAAAGGACTCTGCACTCTATGCACAGATGTGTGTGGAAGAGAGGATGTGGGAAGGAAGAGTGTGTGTGTGTGTGTGTGTGTGTGTGTG